TTATAAATCCCTTGAGGGAACTATTACTTAAAGTCATGGGAAACTCTAATCAAAACAGTCTAGTTTGGGGTCTAGTACGTCAAAACCTCTTCCAGCAATAGATAATTATAACACCTCATAGGAAAGAACTTTTTCCAGATCAGGCCCTTATCATCAACACTGTTTCACAACTGCGCAATCATCCTGGAAATCAGAACATCAAGACCCTCACAAAGAAAGTTTGCTGAGGACTATCCAAATAGCAATAAACTGGTTAAGGATCAAGAGAATTGAGGCAAGAACAGGTGAACTCAATTTTTTTAAACATTCCAGCTCTGTGAGCACCACACTGTCTTGTTTTTGAGATATCACAGAGAAAACTTTTTTTTTTTTTCCCTGTGCTATACCATTGCTTCTCATGCTCTCTGTTAAACTTCTGCTTGCTACTCTGTGTTTCAATTGAATTCTTTCCCACAGAGTCACTAGAACCAGTACCAGAGAACCACCACAGTTGCCCAGGTTCTGGGGTGGACACTTGCCAGGTAACACTGGCATGTGATATGTTTTCCTCATGTATGGACTGGTCATCATAATATTGGTATTTGTAGGGTAAAAGGGTCCTAAATACTATGATTATATATCTCAAATATCTGACATAATTTATTTCTACCATCCATCATAAATACCAATTCTGGATTGGTAGAGGCAACCAAAACTCTGATAGGCAAGAGATAAACTGTAGGGGGAGCATGAAGAGAGGGGAAAGAAGAATCAAAAGAAAAATAACAAAGAAAACAAAAACTTCAAATGAATGTGTCAACCAATATTCTAACCAGAAAAAGAAATCTAATGCTAAGATAACCAACAAACTAAATAATAAGAACATGGACTTTAAAAAGGCTACTAATACTTAAAAAGCAAATAAAGATACTTTTTAAAATGTAAAGGATCATCAAGAGAAACTTTTTTTTTTTTTTTTTTTGGTAGTGTGGATTGAACCCACTGAGCCACATCCCCAGCTATTTTTATTTTTGATTTTGAAACAGAATCTCACTAAATTGCCTAGGTCTCACTAAGTTGCTCAGGTTAACCTGGAACTTGTGATCTTCTGACTCAGTCTCCAGAGTCTCTAGGATTACTGATGTGTGCCTCCATGCCTGGCACCACAGAGAAAACTTGGAGAGAGATATCGTCAAAGTGGTAAAGTACAAATGGTTGGACTTTGCTTTTTTTTTTTTTTTCATAGAAAACCAATCACAAAGCCTAGAGCAGAAATGTCCATCTTTAATTCCAGTGACTTGGGAGGCTGAGGCAGGAGGATCTCAAGGTTCAAGCCAGTCTCAGCAATTTAGTGAGGCCGTCAGCAACTTAGCAAGAACCTGTCTCAAAAGGTAAAAAGGACTGGGGATGTAGCTCATTGGTAAAATACCTCTGGATTCAACCCCCAGTTCAAAAACAGGAAACAAACAAACAAACAAATCCAATTACAACTTTGAACTTTGCAGTGGTAAAATTACCAGCCAGAATATCCCAGAACTAAAGACTGAGGATATGATGATCCCTTGGACCAGAAGGAAGTGAAAAATCATGAGCAGCTGGTAAGAAAAACTGATCTCTAACCATGACCCCTGCTCCCCAAAGCTTACAGGTGGTATGTAGAAAAAAAACCCATTGAATTTGCAGTTTTGAAACTGGAAAAAGTAAGACTGAGATGGGCACCAGTTTCCTCACCATCCTGGATTTTATCACAGGAAAAACATTCTGCCTCAGCCCAAAGGGAGCATCTCCAGTGCTTGAAGGACTAAAAATTCTGAAGGCAGCTAAAAACAAAGAATGAGGTGGGGCTAGTGATGCTTGGTGCTAGTGATGTTCAGTGTGCAGAGTGCTGACTGCTTCCTGTTTTGCCAGACAAGAAGCCTAATCAGAGAGGCTGTACAGAGATGTCATGCTGCAGGAGACATGTTCCACAGGTCCTTTGGGCAGGAGTCCCTAACTGGCCTTTACATACTCTTAGGTTACTCCCTTGGGGTTCCTTATTATTTTTGAGATGATAAATTTTGTTACCACAATTATAATCTTAATCTTATTAGCAATAACCTTATCTGCTTTATGGAAGAGAAGAGTAGACAAGATTAGACTGAGACATTCTGACACTTACATAACAGAAATTTCAGAAGATAATTGAAGGAATGAAGAAGGAATATTTAGAAAGAAAATTATTGCAATTATCCTGAATTATAGAAAAACAAGTGTAACAGTTCAACTGATAGTGGATCTTTTATCTATAGCAAGTTTCCAGAAGATGGGAGACTATTATTTTCAAAAGGTTAGGAGAATTAGCTGTCCTTTAAAAATTTTATATTCAGTTCAATTTTTGTGTAAGATAAAAGTACATTTAAAGATAAACATATGTAAAAAATGTTCAACATCTCTAGAAAATATAGAAATGCAAATCAAAACTACTCTAAGATTTCATCTCATGCCAGTCAAAATGGCAGTTATTAAGAATACAGACAACAATAAATGTCTGCGAGTATGTAGGGGAAATGGCACACTCATACATTGCTGGTGTGACTCCAAATTGGAGCAACCAATCTGGAAAGCAGTATGGAGATTCTTTAGAAAACTTGGAATGGAACCACCATTTGACCCACCTATTCCACTCCTCAGTCTTTACCCAAAGGACTTTAAATCAGCATACTATAGTAACAGCCACATCAATGTTCATAGCATCTCAATTCACAATAGCTAAACTGTGGAAGCAACCTAGATGCCTTTCAATAGATGAATGGATAAAGAAACTGTGGTATATATATATACAATGAAATATTACTCAGCAATAAAAGAATAAAATAATGGCATTTTCAGGTAAATGGATGGAGTTGGAGAATATCATTCTAAGTGAAATAATTCAATCCCCAAAACCCAAATGCAGAATGTTCTCTCTGATAAGTGGATGCTGATCCATAACAGGGAGTGGGGAGGCATGGGAAAAATGGAGGAACTTTGACTGGACAAAGGGGAGAGAGGGTAGGGGAGGGTGCATGGGGAAAGGAAAGATGGTGGAATGAGATGAACATCATTACCCTAGGGACATGTATGACTTGCACATATGGTGTGATGCTACATCGTGTACAATTATAGACATGTAAAGTTGTGTTGTAATTGTGTACAATGAATCAAAATGCATTCTGCTGTCATATATACCTAATTAAAATAAATGAATTAATGTAAAACTAAAAGAATACAAATAACAAGTAACGCTGGTGAGGATGTGGGAGAAGAAAGAATTCTTATGCACTAATCATGGGAATTATTAAAACCACTATAGAAATGAGTATGAAGAGTCTTCAAAAGCCTACACATAAAAATACCATATTATAAAAAAATGATGAGAACAGTTATTTATTCATAAGCTGAGTAAATTTAATTATCTAATGTATACAAAATTCCTGATTGTGTTTAAATAATAAGTGAAATGGGTTTGGGATGTAGTCCAGTGTTAGAACATTTGTCTAGCATGGGCAAGCCTCTGGGTTTGATCCCCAGTAAAACACACACACACACACACACACACACACACACACACACACACTGAAGTTAATAAGAATAAACAAGATTGAGAAATGATTGTTGAATGCATAATGTGAACTAAGTTGTCTATGAGGAAGATAATAAAAAACTTTGTTAGAAAAATAATACATACATACATACACACATACATCTAGGTTGAGAATTCCTAACCTGAAAATCCAAAATCTGAAAATATTCCAAAATCTGAAATGTTTTCACCATCAATATGACACTGAAAATGGAAAATTCTACCCCTGACCTCATATCACCAAAACTCAGATACACTAAAAATGTTATGTTGTATAAACTACTTTCAGCTTATGTGTATAAAGTATAAATAAAATATAAATGAATTTTGTGTTTAGACTTTGGTCCCATCCCAAGGTCTATATGAAAATATTATAAAATCCCAAAATTCTGAAATTTAAATCACTTCAGGTTCAAGTATTTAAAAATAATACTTGAAATATTATGTTTATAATAATATTATTTTAAATAATAATACTTGTTATTTAAAATAATACTCAAGCTAGATCAGGAAGAGGTTGGTGCAGACTGCAGACTGAGGAGTGGGGAAACTGGGCTGCAGATATCAGGTGATTTGTGCTTTGAACTGTGGTTTGTATCTTTGCTCCTTATTTCACATTTCCTGTATCCGTCTTGGTTGAGACTATAGACTGCCACCTTCAGCCCATGGAGTAGAAGAAGAGCACCAGGAGGATAGCAAATTGGATTAGCTGTTGGGCAAAGACCACACCAAGTTGGTATTTCCAAAATCCTAGGGCAGAGGCCTGATGTCAGGTTTCCCAACAAACCAAGTCTGGCCACTTGCACCAAAAAACAATCAAAAAAGGTAATGGTAAAAAGCAGGAAAGAAATTTTTAATCAACATGTACATAGTGGGAAAGCAAAATAAGACCAAACATCTCATCCCTATCCTTGGGGTACTAACATGAGCTGTTTTATTTATTTATTTTTTTTTTTTTGTAATAATCAAAGCATCATCCCCATGATTTATTGAAATAATTTTACAATAATATACAATAAAGCTACCATAGAATTTGTAGCATATATATAGAATGCAATGATCAGCATGTTCTTGGTTCTAAATGAAATACAAAAAAAATTAATTAAAATATTTTATACAAATGATGTTTTAAATCTATTAACATGATGATATATCTTTGTTACATAAAACTTGCTATGGCAAAGTGTTTCAAATTTTACTTGCACATTTAAATATAGGTGAACCAACTGAAATCAGCATCAGCCTTATGTGACATTACCATGCAGAAACACTTGACACTGAAAGGACATACAGATTGGTGGACAGAACATTTCAGACAGTATTATTCACTGTCTTCAAAGGTTTTGTAAAGGGCAGTATAGATGAGATGTGGTGTCAGTGACCTACTTGCACCAATAAGGAAGCAAATAGAACAGTAATATACAAGAAGATCAGTTGCACTATAAACAGTTCATCTTTATGCACATAAATTGATCATTAAAAAAATGAACACAGTTTAAGCTATTTTGGTGTGTTGTTTTAAGATAGGTCACTGAGACACAGAGATAAAAACCAGATAGGGAAAATTAAAAGGAAAGAAGAAATATAGTAAAAAAAAAAATTGAGTTAAGCCATGGATTCTCAACAAACACTGAACTAAATGTGCAAAAGTGCTTGAAATTTCCATATGACAGCAACATTAAGTCAGTTGGCAAAAAAGTATAAAAAATAACTAAACTCAAATACTTATATTGTATCTGCATGGTCATATAATCTCTTTACCAAGAGAAAAGGTTAGAAATTACAACATCTAAAAATATCACACCCCAAAATTAAAATACAAATGTGGCAATTTTATGAATTTTGTCCCCTTTCCTCATTGCTGAGGCATGGGATGAAAGCAGAAGTTGCAACAGTGCCCCTACCTTAGGCTTAAAAATACAGTACACCAGAACAATAAGCAGATAACAATTTCTTTTGTTCTTAATATAAAGCAAAACAAAGAAAAAAAAACTCACTTAAATAGGAATATATATTGTTTTCAAGAATTAAGCCATTTGTTTGACTTAGCAAAGTATTCATCCAAACCAATACTTTTTTAGTTTGCTTCTTTTCCTTTAAAAGGTTTATAGTGAAGACTGAAAATTTAAATTTGCCACCTATATTAATCACATTCTGTTAAAATACTGGCTTTAACCCTTATGGGAAAGTTAAGGTTTAGAAACCTTAGAACTCTTCTCTAATACCTACAGAAATGTTGGTACCAAGTAAGAAAGTCTGGGCCATGATCCATCTCTTTTATTTTTTTCTTGTGGAATGAGACACATCTTTCATGCTATACAGACTGTTATTTAATTTCTTAAGGAGAGAAAGTGAAGGGAAAAAGAACCTCAGGTTATAGGAAGTTCTATAGGAATCCAGGAATCTAAATTGCTATGTCAAGCTATTCTAAATTCATTTTTGAATTCCAAGAATCTTTTGTCTCAATTTGTGCTATTTCCTTTGGTGATAACGCATTCAATCCTCAAAAAAGTTAGGAGTTTTGGCAAAACTGAGTCTAAGTTACTAAAAGTAAAAATAATTATTAAAAAGTTTGTCTTGAAGCCACTGACCAATAAAATATTGGCAAAATCCACTAAAAGCAACACTTATCCTTTCTTCCAAATATCACATAACCATAACACTGCCCATCTAAGATACCACCAAAATAAAATGGAGCACTGTTTACAGAAAAACTAAGGAAAAGGAAGAAATGGATGTAGGAGGGAGAGAAAGACAACCCAAAGAGTAGGGAAGTGGTCTCTACTGTGTCATGGCACAGACAATGCTTGCTTAGCGGTGCCTTATTACAGAGGTGGATGCAGAGAGCACACAGGGGTGATGGCAATAAAGACCTCACTCAGTCGCTGGAATGAAGGAATAGGTAACTGCTTCAACAAGGACGGTCTCAGCTCCACCTTATATCTCAACAGAGCGCAAAGATTGAGTGTAAGCTCTGGCGGTTTCTTGTTCCTCTCTAAAATTCACTAAATTCCTTTGCACATTTTTCTGTTATAGAGACACGGATATCTTCTTCTTCATAGTCGTCAAAGTTGCTGGTATCTCCAGAGCCTCTAAACTTTGGTATGAATGGAGCTTCAACCTTCCTCTGGTAAATAGCAATCCAATCTGTTGTGGCAAACCACTTGTGAGTTTTTATATCACTCACACCGTTTTTTAAATTTCCAAATCGCTTTGTCAGATCCACCTGGAGCAGGTTCCTTAGAAGGTCCTTGAGATCAGAACTGAAGTGGGATGGGAATCGAACTTTCCCAGAAACAATCTTTTCATAAATCTGAATTGGTTGATCAGCGAAGAATGGTGGGTAGCCAGCAGCCATTTCATAGATTAGCACTCCCAATGCCCACCAATCCACTGCCTTATTGTATCCCTTGCTGAGGATTATTTCTGGAGCCAAATACTCTGGAGTACCACATAATGTCCAAGTTCTGCCTTTAACTCTTTTGGCAAACCCAAAGTCTGTGACCTGGATATAACCTTGATGGTCAATTAAGAGATTTTCAGGTTTTAGATCTCTGTAGATGAGGTCTAATGAATGGAGGTACTCAAATGTTAGCACTATCTGAGCTGCATAGAACCGCGCATGGGGCTCACTGAACCTTCCAATTCTTCTTAGATGTGAAAACATTTCACCCCCAGGGACATATTCCATAACCATGTATAAATTAGAATTATCCTTGAAAGAATACTCCAGTCGAACAAGAAAAGGAAAATTCACTGCCTGTAATATTCTTTTCTCATTCAAAGTATGCTCGATTTGCTTCAGTTTAACAACCTTCTGCTTATCTAAGATCTTCATGGCATAATACTGTTCAGTGGCTTTATGTTTCACCAGCATGACTCTTCCAAATGAACCTGTTCCAAGGGTTTTTTTCCTTTCAAAATCCTCGAGTCCAGCATTATTCGGGGGTGGATTCTCCCATTTTTTCAGAAAGTCTTCTTTGGCTTTGGCTAGAAATTCCTTCACGCTTTCCACCTCGCTGCCTTTCTTGGCGGTCGCCGCGTTCCCCATGATTGGGGCGATGGCAAGAAGGGGTCAGGGAGGGGAAGAGGGGCTGGGGCCGCCCCGCCGCTCCACAGACCGAAGCAACTCCCGCTTCTGCACCCGTCAGAGCGATGAATGCGCCGGTCGGTGGGGCCCGGAGTCCAGGCGGGCAGAACCGGCCGGATCTGAGGAAAGGGGTTCAGCGAACTCCCAGGCAATAGCGGTGGCAGCCGTAGTAGTGGCGGCGGTGGAGGCGGTGGCGGTGGCCGTGGCGGCGGCAGCAGCGGCTAGCAGACACTCCCCCTTTCCCGGCCCGCCCTCCCTCAACATGAGCTGTTTTAAATAGAGGAAGAATTGGGGTAGGGATTGAGAGTAATGTATAATTAAGCAATCTTGGTCAAACTGTGGTCTGGTTGATTATTATTTAAGTTCTGCGAGGTAGCTCTGGTGAAGCCCTTATCACAAAGACAGTCTCATTGTGGGGTGATGTGCCTGTTAGGCTCCACCATGGAGACAGTGACTGAAGACTTTTAGACACTACACCAGGATCTGAAATAGGGTTCTGCAAATCTTGCCTCAATCTTGAAGGGAGATAAGAAATGTTAGGTAAACTTAGGGCTAATAAATGTTGTATTACCAGTTTTTAGATGAACATTCCTTAAAAGATGAACATGTCAATGTGCAGAGCTGAGCAGGTCAGAGTTTAAGATAATAAGCAAGATAATAATAAAATGAAGGCAAAGATGCCAAGATTTAGTTTGCTTTTAGTTACTCATTTGGCATCTGCAGGCCTAGGTAAAGAGTGTTTTTAACAAAAGCAGCTTCTCTAAGCTCTTGTTATAATCGAGCCTTAAAGACTTGCTGAGATTTCCCCTTATAGCTGTTTTGAACAGAAACCATGCAGAGAAGAATTAATAAAGGACACTGGGTCTATGGTCCTGCTGTGTGGGCCATGACTGATCCTTCTACCATTTCCACCCACCCCAGTACCCACATCTAAATTTCTTTGCTGCATATCCTGGCCCCTTCAGCATCCTAGGGCACTTGGCTGCTCCTTCATGGCCAGACTGACACAGCATCAGCTTTAGGGCCATCATTTTTTACCCCTATTCTTCTTCCTTTCTCCTCCCACCATTTTCCCTATCTAGAGTTCATCTAATCTTCCCATGCTACCCGTCTCAACCCCATTATGAATCAGCCTCCTTATATCAGAAAAAACATTTAGCATTTGGGTTTTAGGGATTGGCTAACTTCACTTAGCATTGTATTCTCCAACTCCATCCATTTACCTGTAAATGCTATTATTTTATTCTCTTTCATTGCTAAGTAACATTCCACTGTGTATATATACCATAGGTTTTTTTTTTATCCATTCATCTACTGAAGGGCATCTAGGTAGGTTCCACAGTTTAGCTATTTTGAATTGTGTTGCTATAAACATTGATGTGGCTGTGTCCCTGTAGTATGCTGTTTTTAAGTCCTTTGGGTATAGACTGAGGAGAGGGATAGCTGGGTCAAATGGTGGTTCCATTCCCAGCTTTCCAGGGAATCTCATTACTGCTTTCCATATTGGTTTCATCAATTTGCAGTCCCACAAGCAATGTATGAGTGTGCCTTTTCCCCCAATTCTCACCAACCCTTAATAACTGCCATTCTGGCTGGAGAGAAATGAAATCTTAGAGTAGTTTTGATTTGCATTTCTCTAATTGCTAGATGTTGAACATTTTTTCATATGTTTGTTGATTTATTGTATATCATCTTCTGAGAGGCATCTGTGCAATTCCTTTGCCCATTTATTAATTGGGTTTTTGTTTGATTGATGTTTATAGCTTTTTGAGTTCTTTGTATACCCTAGAGATTAGTTCGCTGATGTGCGAGTAGTAAAAATTTGCTCCCATTCTGTAGGCTCTCTATTCACCTCACTGATTGTTTTGTTTGCTGAGAAGAAGCTTTTTAGTTTGAATCCATCCCATTTTTTGATTCTTGATTTTAATTCTTGTGCTATAGGAGTCTTCTTAAGGAAGTCGGGGTCTAATTCAACATGATGGAGATTTGGGCCCACTTTTTCTTCTAATAGACACAGTGTCTCTGATTTAATTACTAGGTCCTTGATCCTTGAGTTTTGTGCATGGTGAGAGATAGGGGCTTAATTTCATTTTGCTGCATATGAATTTCCAGTTTTCCCGGCACCATTTGTTGAAGAGGCTGTTTTTTCTCCAATGTACGTTTTTGGTGCCTCTGTCTAATATAAGATAATTGTAATTATGTGGGTTAGTTTCTGTGTCCTCTATTCTGTACCATTGGTCTACATGTCTATTTTGGTGCCAATGCGATGCTGTTTTTGTTACTATTGCTCTGTGTATAGTTTAAGGTCTGATATAGTGATGCCACCTACTTCACTCTTCTTGCTAAGGATTACTTTAGCTATTCTGGGTCTCTTATTTCATGATTGATTTTTCTATTTCTATCAGGAATGTCATTGGGATTTTGATTGGAATTGCATTAAATCTGTATAGTGCTTTTGGTAGTATGGTCATTTTGACAGTATGGTCATTTTGACAATATTAATTCTGCCTATTCAAGAACAAGGAAGATCTTTCCATCTTCTAATGTCTTCTTTAATTTCTTTCTTTAGCATTCTGTAGTTTTCATTGTAGAGGTTTTTCACCTCTTTTGTTAGGTTGATTTCCAAGTTTTTTTTTTTTTTTGAGGTTATTGTAAATGGGATAGTTTTCTTTGTTTGCCTTTCAGAGGATTTGTCACTGATATTACAGAAATGCCTTTGATTTATGGGTGTTGATTTTATATCCTGCTATTTTCTTAATTCACTTAGTAGTTCTATAAGTTTTCTGGTGGAATTTTTTTGGTCTTCTAGGTGTAAAATCATATCATCGGTAAATAGTGCTAATTTGAGTTCTTCTTTTCCTATCCATATCCCTTTAGGTCTCTGTAATTGCTCTGACCAGTGTTTCAAGAACTATGTTAAATAGAAGTGGTTAATGAGGGCATCCCTGTCTTGTTCCAGTTTTTAGAGGGGATGCTTTCAATTTTTCTCCATCTAGAATGATGTTGTTCTGGTGCTTAACATAGATAGCTTTTATGATGTTGTGATTTTTTATGATGTTTCTGTTATCCCTAGTTTTTCTAGTGCTTTGAACATGAATCTGTGCTGCATTTTCTCAAGTGCTTTTTCTGCATCTATTGAGATGATCATATGATTTATTCTAGTGTGATCTGATAGAATGCAGGGTAGTATCTCTATATTTTTCTATTTGTCAAGAGTTGCTTTGTGGTATAATGTATGGTTTATTTTAGAGAAGGATCCATGTGCTGCTGAGAAGAAAGTGTATTTGCTCATTGAAGGATGAAATATTCTATATGTGTCCATTAAGTATAAGTTATTGATTATATTATTGAGTTCTATAGTTTCTTTGTTCAGCTTTTGTTTGGAAGATCTATCCAATGATGAAAGAGGTGTGTTAGAGTCTCCCAGAATTATTGTGTTGTGGTCTATTTGACTCTTGAACTTGAGAAGAGTTTGTTTGATAAACAAAGATGCTCCATTGTTTGGGACATATATATTTATAATTGTTATGTCTTGTTGGGGTATGGTTGCCTTGAGCAGTGTGAAGTGTCCTTCTTTATCTCTTTTGATTAACTTTAGCTGATATGAGGATGAAAACCCCTGCTTGCTTCCACAGTCCATGTGCGTGGTATGATTTTTCCCAACTTTTCACCTTCAGTCTGTGGATGTCTTTTCTAATGAGATGAGTCTCTTGGAGAGAGACTCAGCATATTGTTGGGTGTTGGGTTTTTTTTTTTTTTTTTTTTTTTTGATCAAATCAGCTAGCCTATGTCTTTTGATTGGTGAGTTTAGGCCATTAGCATTCAGGGTTAATATTGAAATGTCATGTATTCCAAGCCATTTTTGTTTATTTTTGTTATTTAACTTGACTTGATTTCACCTTTGATTAGTTTTTCTTTTAGTGTAATACCTCTCTGCTGATTTTCATTGTTGTTTTTTATTTCCTCTTCATAGACTATTTTGCCAAAGATGTTCTGTAGTGCAGGTTTTCTAATTGTAAATTCTTTGAACTTTTGTTTATCATGGAAGGTTTTTATTTCATCATCAAATCTAAAGCTTGATTTTGCTGGATACAAGATTCTTGGTTGGCATTTATTTTCTCAAAGCTTGATTTTGTTCCAGGATCTTCTAGCTATCAGGGTCTTGGTTAAAAAATTTGTCCACAACCTAAATGGTTTCCTTGTATATGCAATCTGAGTATTTTCTCTTGTGGATTTTAATACTCTCTCCTTATTTGGTATGTTAGGCATTTTTCATTATAATGTGCCTTGGTGTGGATCTCTTGTGATTTTGTACATTTGGCATCCTATAAGCCTCTTGGATTTGGTTTTCCAATTCATTCTTCATGTTTAGAAATTTTTATGATATTATTTCATTGAATAGATTGTTCATTCCTTTGGTTTGGAACTCTATACCTTCCTCTATCCCAATAACTCTTAAATTTGGTCTTTTTATACTATTCCATATTTCTTGAATGTTCTACTCATTTTTTTAAAACCATTTTCACTGTGTGGTCTACATTCTTTTCAAGATTATATATTTGGTCTTCATTGTCTGAGGTCCTGTCTTCCAAGTGGTCTAATCTGTTGATGATGCTTTCAATTGAACTTTTAATTTGATTTATTATTTCTTTCATGTCAAGGATTTCTGTTTGGTATTTCTTTAGAACCTCTATCTCCCTATTTAAGTAATCTTTTGCTTCTTGTATTTGTTTATGTAGTTCTTTGTTGAAATGATTTTTTGCTGCCTGTGTTTGCACTCTTATATCATACTTTAATTCACAGAGTATTTTAATTATGTATATCCTAAACTCCTTCTCTCTCATTTCATCTGCTGTGCTGGCCATGGATTCTAATAATGTGGTATCTTTATTTGTTTGGAGCACTTTCCTCCCTTGTCTTTTCATGTTGCTCATGTGTCTTCCCTTCTAGCATTGTGGATCCAAGGCATTACCATTTGTACCCTATAGGCTTATAGTGCCCCTGTAGGGTTCCAATATCTCTCCTTTGAGGAGTAGGACAATGTTAACAGATCCCAATATAAATAATATACCACATAAAACAACTTGTTGTCAATAGACATTTACAGTTTAGTCACAAGGTACAGAGATGGTGA